ACACCGTGTCCGATCGGCACCGTGTGCAATCGACACCGTGTCCGATCAGGAAATATTGTCGTGTCCGATTTGTAATGTGCGCAATCGGGACAATCCCAACGAAAGCGAGCCTGTCCAAATAGCCGAAGACGCACCTGACGTGGCATTTTCACTTAGCCGACGAGAACGAGCTGAGCACGGCGCAGGCCGCGTTCGACCTGTGGTCGCAGCATTCTGCATTGACGTTCGAACGCTCCGAAACGTTGAATGCCGACATTATAATATCTTGGCGACGCCTAGTACACTATAACACGATCGCCGAGGTAAACGGAGAATTGTGCTCGGTCAACTTCGACGGCCCCGGCAACGTGCTCGCTCACGCGTCTCTCCCGACGGACCAAGCGGGATTTGTTTCCGAGGTGCACGTCGACGGGGACGAGCCGTGGCACATTTACGTCAACAAACATCCCGCGGATAAGTTTTCCCTGCATTACACGCTGACGCACGAGATCGGCCACTCCCTCGGATTGGTGCACAACAGGCGCAAAACATCGGTGATGTTCGCGATACAGCCGGACCTGCAGTATCCGGTGAAGCTCGACCAAACCGACATCGCCGACATTCAACGTTTGTACGGTGAAAAAATTTAGAACGATAAGCCGCGTCGGACGCCAGCGCCGTCACCGCCGCCGCCGCCGTCGCCGGACCTGTGCAGCCTCGATCGCGTGAACGGGATATTGATTGTGGAAAATCGAATGTACATCTCGTACAAACGTTACGTTTGGTCGGTCGATCTGGACGGTAGGACGTACAACGGACCTTTAGCCCTCTCGAATCAGATGAGCTTTCTTCACGACAATTACACGCGCGTGAGCGCTGCCTATCAATCCCCGTCCGGCGATCTCATGGTGTTCGTAGATAATTTGGTATACTTGGTTCAATATCCGGAATTTAGTCTGCGGCCAGGTTGGCCGAAGACCCTGCAAGAACTCGGATTTCCCGAAAACGCGCTGATCAACGGAGCGGTGAACACCCACAGAGGACGTTCGTACGTGGTGTTCAACGGTAACGCGGTGGGCGAGATAAACGAATGCGACAGGGACAAGAGAGTCGCCAAATTTACGCCCCTCGAGGCGACGTTTCCCGGAATACCGAAAGGCGTGACGTCGATATTCCGCTACATCGACGGCAATCTGTACTTCATCACTCGGACGCAGTTCTACAAATTCAACGAATTTACGAGGACCGTCTCGTCAGCCGGTAAATTCGATCTGCGGATACTGAATATCGTCTGCCCTAAGGCCGACCTGCTGCAGCAGTTGCGCGATCTCCTCGATCGAATCGTACGCCTCGACGATAACTCGCTAATGTCGGCGAGCGATTATTGGAACGATGACAACACCGGAGTTCGGCTCTCCGATTTCCGCATCCGCCGAAGGAAGTAGACTACCGCGCAAATTTCCCACACCGCGCCACGCGCGACATAAGTCAGATTTTTCCTACTTATACCGACGTGTCCCTTCCAAGGCATCAGTGTCGCGTCGTCGGTTGAATACGACGCGTCGGAAAAACAATCAGAAAAGAACGGTTACCGCGGCGCGAAAATTTCTCGACATTGGCCGATCGACCCGCGCCGAGGAGTATTTCTCCTACGGAGACGGCGGATTCGGAGGCGAACGACAACGGCAATAAAAGGCGGAGGATCAGTTCGATGGACGATCGCCATTATCTTCCTCGTCGCCAGGAATCGCGTCGCAGCTCTCATCCCCCAATCGACGCGCCCGTCGAGGACGATCGTCGTCGTCATCATCAGGAGTTTCGTTCCAACTTTCCCGTCGAATTGTCCCCTGTGCGCATCCTGACGACGCGTTATCTGCTGACGGCGACTGGCTACAAGTACATAGCCATAGGTATCACTATCAAGACACCGTGGTACAGTATTCATACCACGCCTTCGTACGTGGATATCGCCCTGGGGGACAAACAAGGAAAGGAAATCTCCCTGACGCTCGACATGTGGAAAGGACTGATCGAGCGCAAACGCGACGTATTGTCGTGCATGGAACGCGCTCTTTCCGACGTAACTCACCCCCCTTCGCCGATGTCAATCGGAGGGATGACAATGCGATTCGGAGTGATCAACAACGGGCCGATCATACGTATGGAACTACCCAACCTGGCTCGCGTGGCGATGGTGCGCACAACCCTGCTCAAGCTGTACAATCTCCAATTTTGCGTGGATCGCGTCATCCGTGCGCTGAGCGCGGCGACCGAGGAGGTCGACGCTAAGTTTGAGCGCTATCGGGAGATAGCCGCCGCCGCGATGAAAATGGAAACTTCGATTCAGCCTGAGATACAGAAGAGCGATTTCTTCGATCCTGACAACATCGTCGACTGCGAGATAGCCGCTCTATGTTTCGACTCCTTATAACGATGTCGCGTCTACGAAATGCATATATTCGAGCGAGCGAAACAATGTAAAAGCGCTTGTATTATTTTTTGAATAAAAAAAAAAACTATATGCGTATCTCATCTGTGCGCTCTCTCTTTCCGTTTCCCCCTTTTTTCCCAAATCCGTATACCCATCTCCGCGGTCGCGGCGACCGCGACGCCGAGTTCGAACGCGCGTTACATAATATATCGCGAATCATGAATTACAGGTCGAACACAAGGTGAATGGAAAAAAAGAATTGTCGCGAACGAAGGGACGAGAGTCGTCTCGCTCGATCTCTCTCTCTCTCTATCGACGCGTCGCGTCGGGGACGGGCGGGAAAAAAACCGCGAGACAAAAGGGTGGGAAAAAACCGCGCTAGACGAGACCAAATAAGGAAACGGCGAGAGCGTCCGCGACGCCGAGTTCGAACGCGAGGTGAATGAATGAATGAAAAAAAAAATCTATTGTCGCGCGTTGATCGAACGACTAGACGATGAGTCATCTCCATCGATTCCGACGAGTCGGGTAAACCACGTGCTGCCCGTCGCCCCGCCGCGGGATCGAAACGACCTTCGGACCGAGAGTTGAAAAACAAAAACACAACAAAACGACGACGACGGGCGCGCGACACACCCCTCCCCCCGCGAAACGAACCGTCCCGGAACGCGTCGTTCTCCCACCCATCCCTCTCCGAAACGTTCTGACGAGCGACCTCGAACGAGTTCGAACGAGTTTGGACGCGCCCGAACGCGCGCGCGCGCGAGCGACCGACGACGATGAAAAGAAAAAAAAAGAAAAGAAAATAAAAATTAAACAAAAAAAACGAACGAAAAATATCGGCCCGCGATTCTCCTAAACCGCCGTCGGTAACGGCGCGAGCGCCGCTCCGAACGCCCTCTCGGAAAATGCCCAAATCCCCGCTACGAGCCTCCGTTGGCGGCCCTGACGCACCCAACCTTCCGTCAAATGTTCCCCTCGCGTCGCTCACCCCCTCTCGCCCAGTTTTTGCTTCCCCCCGCATAGCCCCTCCTCCGATGACCCTTTACACCGTCCTTCGACCCCCGCGCCCACCGCTTACGGCGCTCCCCCCGCGGCAGCGAAGCCCCCCCCGACGCCGCGTAACCGCAAGCGAGATCCCTGGGGCCAGAAGTACCTATTGCCTCCCTACTTTCGGGATTATGTAAATAGTGACGAGGGCGCAGTTGAATGGCAATGGGACCAAACTTTTCATAATATAAACATGAATCTCAATTGACTATGTTAATTGTTTATTAACTATTAGTAATATTTTTGATATTGTGTATGAATCTGCATATGAAGTGTTTCGTGTATAACAAAAACTTTGTGTGTCTCATAAGAAATTTATTGCATAGTATAATAAGGTAATAATAAACATATCACATAATAAAAGTACTTATTTATTTAAAATAACATCATTATAGTCCATTATTTATTATATATATCATCATATACCATTTGTCCATATATATATAACTAGCTGGTTACCCGGGCTTCGCCCCGGAGGACATATGTAATCAGACACGCAAATAGTCTCTCTCTCTCTCTCTCTCTCTCTCTCTCTCCTTCTCTCTCTCCCCCCTCCCCCCTTTCCTTCTCCCTCTCTCTCTTTCTCTTTCTCTCTCTCTCTCTCTCTCTCTCTCTCCTCTCTCTCTCCTTCTCTCCCTTCTCTCTTTCTCCCTCTGTCTCTCTCTCTCTCTCTCATACAATTCTTTCAGATTCGGTCAATTAATTCCCAAAAAATTGAAAAAATTTTGATACCGGCTTCCAAAAAATCGGTAACAAAAAATTATACACTTCATAGCACTCCCCGGAAAATTCTACCCCTGTTTGATCTACAATTCTTTAAAATTCGGTGAATTATTTCCCGAAAAGTTAAAAAAATTAGAAAAACCGGTTTCCAGAAAATCGGTAACAAAAAACTATACACATAGTGGCACTCCCCGGAAAATTCTACCCCTATTTCATATACTTTTGGTAAAAATTATTTAAAAAAATTTCGATACCAGCTTCCAAAAGATCGGTAACGAAAAATTATACATTTTATAGCACTCCCCGGAAAATTCTACCCCTGTTTGATCTGCAATTTTTTGAAATTTGGTGAATTATTTCCCAAAAAATTAGAAAAATTAGAAAAACCGGTTTCCAGAAAATTGGTAACAAAAAACTATACACAGTGGCACTCCCCGGAAAATTCTACCCCTATTTCATATACTTTTGGTAAAAATTATTTAAAAAAATTTCGATACCAGCTTCCAAAAGATCGGTAACGAAAAATTATACATTTTATAGCACTCCCCGGAAAATTCTACCCCTGTTTGATCTACAATTCTTTGAAATTCGGTGAATTATTTCCCAAAAAATTAGAAAAATTAGAAAAACCGGTTTCCAGAAAATCGGTAACAAAAAACTATACACATAGTGGCACTCCCCGGAAAATTCTACCCCTATTTCATATACTTTTGATAAAAATTCAGTTCAGGGGTTTGAGCTAGGCGTTGATGAGTGAGTGAGTCAGTCAGTCAGTCAGTCAGGACAGTCGTGAAAACACATTTTACCCCTTTTCACCCCCTTAGGGATGGAATTTCTAAAAATCCTTTCTTAATGGGTGCTTACGTCATGAGAGGAATACACCCTCCAAATTTCAAGTCTCTAG